CGAGCAACGCAACGTCTAGTAGAGGTCGACCGAATCACATTGGATGGGAACGGGCCGTCTGTAAATGGATAGATTTTATTTTGGATGAAGGATTTGTACAATTTGGGAATGGCATGTACCAACAAGCCTCTGGTATATTTATGGGAACGGCACCGGCCCCCGAATTAGCGAATATTTTTGCGTTTACACATGAATTATGTTTTTTGAAGGAAATGGTGGAGGAGTATTTAATTGCTAAACAAGCTGGGACTACACCGTTGTATCCATTTGAATTTATTGAGCAGTATAGCATTGGTACAAAACGGTGTATAGATGACATCTTTACAGTGCGATATGGTAACCAGACTGGACCAACATTTATTTGAAGATATTATATATAAGGAGGGTAATCAGGTATGGTGGTATGTACCCTACATACGATAGTGCTAGATATGGATGGTGATGAGACAGAAAATCCTGTTCGCATTACACTAGAACAGTGTGGGAAATCAGCACACTTTCTGGATATGCAAATAGGGCAAGACATTCCTGGTAAGACTTGTATTGGTATGTATAATAAGCGCCAACATATGGCTACGCTAAAGCAATATCGGGCATTTCCGCATTGGGAAACAGTGTTATCTACTAGGTGTAAAATGTCGACGTTACACTAAGCTTAGCCTTATCAGGCACGCCGAAGGCGTGCTTCAGGCATGTGCAAAACAGCCCGCCGCAGGCGAAACATTTTGGGGTCAGGCAAAATTTCAGGCATTTGCCTGACACCAGGTTTTTGCCTGAAATGCCTGATTTGAATCACGCAACCTGCCTGAAAACTTGCCTGACACTTGCCTGAAACCCATTCAAGTCGTTTTGGCGCCCTCATTACGCACCTGTAGCGCGCAACTAACGTGCCCCGGCAGTGTTGGCATTCAGGGCTTACACTGAAGTATTCAGACACGTAGTTGACGAAAAATATATAGTCTATTATTGTTTTATTATGTTGCATACATGCCTGTACGTTGGTTCCCCCCATTCACCCCATGCGTCTCGACTCAGTACTCTACCAACATCAGCAAGAGGTTGCTTGAAGCGGGCGAGGGGCGAGGGGCGAGGTACAGAGAGCGCACAGAGGCTGGAGGAGCAGAAAGAAACAGAGAAAACCATTACTTCGCAAAGAAGATTGTTGTTGTACAGATAGATGCCAAAGAAACCAGACAACAAACAAACGTTCAAAACAAGATTCGGACATTATTCAACGTTCGACAACAAGCAAAGCATTCCCCGCCGACGCAAGGCATGGTAAACCGATAATTACCATTCTCCCCCACTTCCATCTGTTTGGTGTGTGCAGAAGCGCAAAATAAATAGACAACGCTAACAGTCAACGAGCTCTATAGGAGGAGCAGGGGGCCTGGATTTTTCAAGTATGACCGGAGGTAAATGCGAGCAGCCAGCCAGATTATTGGCGCCCCCTCGACTTTCCCGCAATCCCTTTCATGTACGCACGGGCAAGAAAAGTTGGCTGGCAGCATCTTGCTGCACGACCACACGACACACTGCCAGCACGACACTACCAGCACCACACACGGCTAGCTAAACCACCACTGGCGCATCATTCGTCGAGCGCGCAAGGCCGTGCATTTATTTTTTTTTCTTAATATGGCACAACGAATCCATCTCTATTTGTTTTTTTTAGGAGGGGGTCCGTGCTTGATTTTTTCCCCCTCTCTGTGTCTCACGGGCCCCCCTCGGCCCCCTACATACCTACTTATGAGAGTTGGCGTTTATTTCATGGTGCCTGACACGTATTTTGGCGGTTTGCTGCGTTGCCTGGCGAAAGTCAGGCATCTCAGGCACCAAACACCCTCTCAGGCAACCCCGATCTGAAAAGGGGCTGTCAGGCAATAAATTAGGGTTGCCTGATAAGGCTAAGCTTACGTTACACTGTCAAATATGCCGATTTGCTATTAGATGTACTGATATTCGATTTTTTCAAGCAGCCACAGCCAGACTGGTGGCTGATATGCTTGCACGTTACTATTCTAGTCGACTTGTACGTAGTACTTTACACAATTTCATGTATACATTTTTTCGTACCTCGACAGTGACTGCATGTACCTACGGTGCGGAATTCATACTGGACGAAAGTGGAACTGGGTATCTGGAAGCGAATAGATACGAAGGACTTTTCTTGTTAGATTAGCTTGCATGTTATCTTGTATTGTGTTTTGTTTTGATTACGTTTCGCTGTATTAGAAAGTGTTTCATCCTGTTGTTCAACAATTCCTGAAATGTTGTTATGCTGTGTTCGTACACCGTAATGTTTATATGATCAAAAAGGACGCTGGTATGTAATCAATGACGTAAAATTCCCGTTTAATTTGCCTTTTGTGCTACCAAACCTGCACGCACTACTTTATTAGGAGCTTTATAGCTTATAGCGATGCGAAAATCTGTGGGCAACCGCATATTTGACCGTCGAAACCGCAAGGGGGAACACTGAAAATGAAACGTGTCCCTTGCAATTAAGATAATCGATTTCTGTGCACCTTTCATGAAAAACTCTCTTACACCCAGGTGACAACGGAAAAATTGGGAATTCCGACAAATCCCGCTGAACCAGAAATCTGCACATCAAAGAGCCAGCCAGCCACATCTATCTGCTGAGAGGAGCAAGCATGCAGTCATTCCGTTTTTAGATCAGCTACCTACCTCTCTTGGATTGCGGAGCTAGCCGGCATTTCGGATCCAGCCGTTGTGCGATACTAATCATCTCCGATAGGACTTGAGGAGGACGGACTGTAAAGCTGTAGTAGCATACTGCACTGCGTCTGCTCCTTGCTGCTGCTCTTGGCTGACCCAGGACTTCGAAAATCCCCACAGGTACGAACAAACTCCTTTTATGTGTGGTCGAAGGATGGACTACACCATGCATAACATACTGCAGCTGCCTTCACCTGTCGCCACCATTCCACGTCTACATGTCCATGACACGTGCTGCCAACTGAAGCGGCAACTGATGCGACGACACCTGGGTACAACATGGACACAGGGAGTACTCCCCCTGCCCATACACCGTCAAAATTGCTTACAAACTAGAACAACCTCTTTTCCCTCTCATGCCAAATACAAATGTTGTAACATGCATGAAATGATCGGCCTTGTCTTTACTTGTGGTCCACGCTGCCTACTAGTGGGAGAGGTAGCCATACCTTCTGCCTACATACGAGCGAGATAGGTAGCCATACCCACTGCATTTAACACACACCCACATGTCGGTGATGAAACCTCAACCACATGCCTCTATCGGCGACCACGTCAGGAGGCAATGAAAAAATGTTCTCCCGTGCCATTTGCAGACCTAACAGCACGAAATTACACAAAAAGGTAAGAAAATGGTGAGACCATGCCCGTGTGTCCGCACATACTCCGAATGTATCCACACATATACATACCCAAATACCCGGCACATGCGCGCACCACATTGAAAATACGTTTGAAAACTGAGGGAGATTGCATGCCCTACGACTAAAAGGGTGCCACACACAAAACGCCCGACCAGTACCTAACACATATCATCTGCACCTTCCCAACATAACATATATGAGACACACAAGACAGCTACCAAACTGTCTTGTTGAGCCTGTTACCCGCAGGGGAGATGTCCCTATATGCTGTCTGGGAAATCGTAGACATACAGGTACTTTCTGACGCTATGAATCCATTGCTAATCTGTCTCAGACTCTTTTCTATGATAGAGATGGTTTCGTTGTGTCATATTAAGAAAAAAAGAAAAAAAAAGGCGAGCAATTTCACAGTGGGCTAAAAAAGAATTGGGCTACAGCTGAGAGTGCAACCTCATTTGCAATGTCGAACAACCGGGTCCAGGCATCTGCCAGCAGGGAGAGGGAGACTCATGCCACACCTAGATAACCACTTCGCGGGTCGGACCAAACAGGAGACCACGGGAGATCGGTGCGGTACCTCTTCGCCGGGCAAACGCCCCTTTCTCGCTTTTGTGTTTGAGAAGCGACCACAGACAAGCGGCCACAGCAAGAGGAGAGGGGTGCAGCAGGACCGGAGCAGTAGAGGCAAGAGCAGGCGTGGAAGGGAGTCGAGACGGGTAGAATCAGGGCAAGACTCCCCCGGCGGCGTCATCGTGGCGAATCCTGACACACCAGCAGAAGCAAGGTCGTGTCGTCTTTGCCACGGACAGATGTACGCCGAACGTGAGTTGTAAAACGCACAATCGACCTCGATCTTGAACCTGCGGCGGCGTGCTTCAATGGCCAAGGATCAGAACCGGACAAAATTTCCACAGGCCTTGTAGCACGACAGCAGTAGTGACACAGATGGACGCTACCCCCCCCTTGGCCAAGGTGCCATAACGTGAAACGGTTTGACCTTGTGCAAGGTAACCCCCCAAAAAAAGTGCACATTAGACAAGGTCCGAGAAATCGACCATGTTGGACAACGTCCCCCAACTCAACCTTGGGCAAGGTTCAGAATTTTCGAGAGGGTTGAGCAGGGTTCGAGGGAAAGGGGTTGCCCAAGGTTCAACGAAAAAATGGGCCTTGTGCAAGGTAAAAAAGTGCACATTAGACAAGGTCCGAGATATCGACCGTGTTGGACAACATCCCCCAACCCAACTCGGCTGCACAAAGCTGCTTGTGGTTCATGTGCGAGATTCCCGCAACACGCTACAAGCATTTTGCAGCAGCAGCGGGAGCATAACGGGCGCTGCATGTTTGTGTGGAGATTGATGAGGAGCGTTTTAGGGAAAAAGGACCTACGACAACAGGTCAACCTGCTTCACTGCATCAATAACGCACAAACCGGTTATCACGCCACAGCAAGCGCTAGCTGCTCAAACACCAGTGAGAAGTCTTGACAACGTCTCAGCTACACAAAACTGTTGGTAGTTCTCGGAGGTCTGCAGTGTGGGCTGAGATCGCCTTTTGAGACCCGATCGGTCAAGGGGAGGGCTATGCGAATATCAACGACACAGAGCGACGAAGAGAAAAACACCTTTGGTCGACAGAGACCCAAGCTCAGAACTTGATAAAAATTCAAGCCAACATCTGAACTAGTTACAAACGTCCCCACACGTACACGCGTGGCGAAGCATCGCTACTCGTTCCATCATGTGACAACGGTATTTGCTAACACAAACTAAGATAACCTGAATCGCACAGCCGTACACAGCACCCCAGCGAACCACCCAGGCTGATCGCCTGCCAAAGAAAACTTTACCACCACAGCAGTGCCAGAAGCGTTCCTCGACGGGCGACGTTGTCGTACCCAGCGCTGCCACCCTTTCTCTATTTCAAGAGAGAATGAACTACCGGGCGGTTAGCCAACCGTAACGACGGCTGCAACTGAACCGGTCGGTTACGCGCCAACCGTCACGACGGCTACAAGTGAACCATCCCAACGGTTACCCCTGAACCGGTTCGTGCGTGGCGAGTACACCTTCGTACAGCATCCAGTCTAGCTGGATGGTCGAGTTGAGCTGTGCCAGCTCATCGGGATCGAAGTCGCTTAGTCGGATCGTCTTGACTTTGTTGGCATTTTGCAGCTGGCGGGTTGGGGGAATCATTCAATCCAAGCGCGACAGCAGGGGGGGGGGGGGCGGTACTCATAGTCGTGCATGCCGTAGTCGTTGGACCTTTGACGTCGCATTCCTACACAGCCGGGACGGAGCACGCCGGGTTTTCACTGGGCCAGGCTCTCACATTACCAAGCGCGATACGCCGTGAGGTATTCGGCGGGTCGCATGAAGGGTGAGCGGCATCCTGTGAAGGGTGTTCGATATCTTGAGCATACTTCCTTGCGTACGGATGACAGCTGCGCATCGCTAAATATATTTTCTGGTGCTTTCACTTTCAGAGACAGTTATAAGCACTGCTGTGTAACTGCCTCGAGGATGCTTTACCATTTTAACACAACGTGGTGCGATCATCCCCCTTGCGCGGAGTGAGGCTTCTCAACCCCGCACAACATGATCTACTCGATGACCACTATGGTTACTGCAAAAAAAATATGATAAAAAAAAAACCCGGTAACCTGGTTGCCGAGTTCAAGTGCATTGGTTTGTTTTACAACGTCGCTGCCAAGTGACGAAAACCCAACCCCGATGGCAAACACAGGGGGGGCGGCTTGTTTTACAACGTTGTTGTGAAGCGACGACGACCCAGTCCCGATGGCAAATACCGGGGGGGGCGGGGGGGGGGGTGATTTGGGACATTGAGAGGGACGGATGCCGAGGGTATATGCGTGAGAGAAAAGAACAGTAAAAGTAGGTGGACTTGACAGTAATGTTCCCACCTCTAGGAAATACAAGCCATCCTCATTACGTTCTAAATGCGTCGATACTTGTTGCCGGGTCACCGCGATATCCGTAAGGATAAAAGGGTGTAGTACACGTACATACTCCGTATCACGTATCACCTCCCGTGAACAGTATATCTGCAAAAAATGATGCCAAAGTGGGAATCGTATACTACTGGAGAGCGATGATTGAAAAATAACAAAGCAAATGGTAAAAATGAACAAAATAGACAAAATTTAAAGAGCGATGACTGAAACTGAACAACAATAAAAACGTGGCTAAACAAAGGTACGTATATCGATAATACAACTGACCTCCCCCCGGTCAAGATTATCTTCCACTTGAGGCGTGAGAACGCCGTGGGGGGCCACAAACCGTCTCGTCAGGTACCTCCTAATCTGTGGCACCTCGCTGGTAAGGGCCACGAGATCGAGATGCCTTCCGAAGGATTCCAATATCTCCTGTCAAGGGGGCGTCGACGGCGGGCGGCGAGATGTTGCGGAGACCACGGTCGGGGGGGGGGGGGGGGGACTCATAATCCTGCATGCCGTAATCCTTTAAACCGTAAACCTCCCATCCCTACAAAGCCGGGATAAAACATGCCGGGTTCTCACTGGGACCAGGGTCTCCCATAGCGCGAAACGCCCTGGGGGGTTCGGGGAGTCCCACTGAGGGTGCGCCTGTACCCTGGGAAAGGGGTTCGGCATCTTGGGGTTTATTTCTCCCCGTACCAATGACAATCTCCTGCTTTTTGGTGTTTTCATTTCCCAGAGGCTGTATGTAAGCGTGTGTGTAACTGCCTTGAGGGTGGTTCACCAACTCAACACAACGTGGTGCGATTGTCCCCTTTGCGCGGATTGACGGTTCTCGAGCCCACACAACATAATCTACTCGACAAGCATTCATGGTTACCGCAAAAAACGAACGGAGGCAAAAAAAAACCGGTAACCTGGTTGCCGAGCTCACGGAGTAATAGGCTTAATTTATAACATTGCTGCCAAGCGACGAAACCCCCGATGGTAACCGGCGGGGGGGGCGGCTTGTTTTACAACGTCGTTGCCAAGTGACAAAAACCCACACCCGATGTCAAACACCGGGGGGGAAGAGACCACGGTCGGGGAGGGAGAAATTTGTCGCCGTTGAAGAAGACAAAGAGGGAGGGGGGGGGGAGGCCACGCAGAGCACGGGCGGGAAGGAACAGCGGTTGCTTGTTGCTTGAGGGCATGCACCCGTTGTGGTCTGCACTTCGGTTGTTCGCTTGTTCCTAATTGTCACCCCTCTGCGCACTACTACTCCCGCGGGGGGGGGCATACCATCCTGGCCACAAGAGCACAGTACATGGGAAGAGGCGTTTGATTGATCGTCCCACCGGACCCCACGAGAAACGACCACAACACCGCACACCACGTGATGCGTGTCCATGCCCTGCCAAACGTGGTGCCACCCGCCACGTTGGCTACAAGTCCAGCCCAGGTCGTTCGGCTTTCCTCTTAGCAATACATCGCGCGTGCTCTGTATTTTTTCAACAAAAAGAAACACGAACCCACGAAGATTGCAGTAACTAATACCGTATACGACACGAGATAGCACACCCCCTGGACCGATTTTCAAAGCTCCAATAGATTACACCACGACGAAAATGAGGCATTGACGAAACGGTACAGTTTCGGAGAGGTCTCGACCAAACGGTTCCAGCGCTGCCATTTTCGGCGCTGCGACTCTTGCTGCTGTTGAAAAACCGAGCGCAGAGAATCGGTCGAGGGCGTGTATGTTATCTTGTTTCGTATACGGTCGGCCTTACGATACCGGCGCACGTGTATGCGGGAAACAGCAAGTCTTTATCAGACAACACGCAAGCAATACCCCCCCCGGGCACGCATCGACGTACACGTCATAAAGGCATGTACGCACACCTCTACGGTGCGCTCATCCACTGATCCGGGCGACGCCCAGCCATTGAACCCGTGTGCCAAGTAGCTGACCAGTCCGTCCCTGTGGGGATACGCGAGCATCTCTTGCTTGGGGGTCATGCTATTCTGGAGGAGAAGTACATGTGGAAACACAGAAAAATCGGGGGAGGTGGGCGGGGTCACCAAGAATTACAGATTAACCACGGTGACCGGAAAGAAACAGGAGCTGGATCCGGGAGAAACAGACAGAGAGACAGAGAGGCAGGGAGCGGAAGGGGAGGAAAACAGCACGGTCCGCACGATTGATCTCGACCTTAACAACGTGGTAAAGGAGAAGTCGAGGTCCGGCGACCGTCGTAGCGGGGCGACATGTTGCTCACTAGCTTCTAAATTTTGTTCCAAACTTTTACCTACACTCGTAGAGAAATCCTCCGACTCTTGCAAGTCTACCTCCACCGCCACAACTGCCATACCTACGGACGGCAACAGCAACAGCAACAGCACTACAACAATGGACATGCTACAAACAGCAGCAGCATCACCTAACCTACAACTGTCCGGAGCAGCAGCAAGACCTCCACCACCACCCCAACTAAACAACGACAACTGCCACCCTCCGAACAACCACGGCAGCCTCACCAATCCGCACGGATAGCAACACCAGCACTACCACCACAGAAGGCCAACAAGAGGCACAACACAACACCCGCCTGCTGCGGACACGTCTCCTTGTGCCCCTTCAGCCTCCGGTGGCACAGGTCGTCGTACAGCGAGACAAGCCACTCCAGCGGCTGCCTGACCATCGTGAAGGCGAAGAACCCGCAGTCGTTCTTCGCGTGCTCGTGCCTCATGGTCTCGAGAGCTTCTCGGGCCTGCATGAAACTGTCGGTTATTTGTTTTTTTTTGGGGGGGGGCAGCAGTGCGGCAGGCGCGAAACGTCCAATCGGCTTCCCGAGGTATCTAACGCCTAGATTTCATCTCTTGCATGGGTACACTCCACTGAAAAGGCGGTGTGTCGGGCCTTCTTACCATGGTGGTGAAAGGAGGTTTCGAGCAAATACGTGCCGGATTCCTGGAGTTTTCACACCACACATGACATGCACACGCTCGGAAGAGGTCGGGCCGGCTCTTCTGTCTCAACACTATACAATACCACAACACCCACAGCGACGACAAGCAGCACTCCCCGAAGGCTGATCGCATGATATCCTTCTTCAGCACGTACACAAACACCCAACAGTCAAGGTGTTCGCTGCCACCGAAATCGTTCCTACAGCTACAGTCAGATGCTCAGAGGTGCATTGATTGGTGATCGGCAACGTGCAAACCAGGGTCAGAGTCGGCTTGGTTTCAGCGCAAAGGACATAGACCCACGGATATACATCGGTGTTTGTAGCCCTGACGAATGAATGACTCTGATCATCTCGGGGACTGCTTGTACCTGGTGCAACTGTTGATTGAACCTAAGCGAGAGGACACCAGTCTCGAAAAGCATAGTGGAGCCCACCACGCCTGAAGCATGCACGTTTTGGGCAAGCACGTGCCAACCTACCACCCGTTATTAAGTTTGGTTTGTGTCTTGACTAGAAACCTCTGGCGTTGGGTTGAATAGGGCAAAAGTACACACACAGACAAAACCCGCCGTTGCAGCCGTACAAGCGATTCTTCCCAGTCAGCAAAACTCGAATCGAACGGTCAAACTAGCCCTGTGGAATGTTAACACCGTACAACGATTTGCCCCGCAACTTGTTAACCAACTATGGATATGGGATACAGCACAGCTGGTATTGTAGTACCTGAGAGCGTCGCCACAGTGGAACTCGATGAGCTTGTGGCGTTGGCTTGGGCTCTCTTGCAGCCACGGTTTCCTGCAAAAACAACGATGACCACATCAACACCAAGACCAACAACATCGACATCGACATCATCCGTATCGGCAACGGTATCTCAACTAGATGAGGATCAGGTCGGAGGCAAGAGTCGTAACAACTTCTGATTCAACTCAACCCACAACAACTCGATCGCATGTTCACACAACAACACGCGTGTGGTGTGCAAACTAAACCAACGTTTTCATTTTTTGTGTGTGTTTTTCCACCCTCCATCCGATGGATGCGTGTAACCAGTCGCCCCGTTGGTATCCTCGAAACCTTCTAGAGGTCAGATCAGCGGTTCGAGTTCCGGCGTAAGCGAACGTTTCTTGCAAAGTAAGTGTTTCTCTCGCTTCCGCTCCTGGCCTAGTGGATAGCGCTAGTTCGTGTGTCCACAGAGAAAAGAGAGTGCTGAACTCTTCTCGCATTAAAAATTCGAAGGCAAAGTACCGCAGGGGGGGAGGGTAGAGAGGGACTCTTCTGTGTGATGACGGGTTGGAGGAAACGGCACTAGTGCTGTGAGCGCTGATTTATGTGGAGACAAAAAAAAAAATGTGCATGCCTATTTTACGCCGCGGTGGTTTCGGGTTGAAAATCATTAAAACATGACCATTATTTAATTCGTGTTTGTTCTGCGTTTTGTTTTGGGTATTTATTTATTTATTGTTTCCGGGGACGCAATAATAATGCAAGGTTCATGTATATATGTAGATCCTAGCCCGTCTGCATTAGACAGTTTCGAAACCAAAAAAAGCTGAAAAAGGGAAAGATATTTTGAGTTAAGCCATCTTTCTGAGTATCGTTCCTGACAGTCTCGCCAGAACCCAAGAAAAGGGAAAAATATTCAGATTTAACAGCGGGGGGAGGCTCGTTTTGTGGAAAAACTCGCTAACTTTTCGATTTCCCAGCTTTCTTTGAAATAACACATCAGGCACCACGCACAACACATCATCAGGCACCACCCACACGCACACACACAGTCTGCAAGAGCATGTCCAGCGGCCGCCCAAATAAAACCCAGCGCCCAGCGCAAAGGCCCTGGAGTTGCGCGCCACCAACACAGAAAGGGGGGGGCTGCACGGTCAGAAAACCAAGTTGGGGTTGGTTGTTGCACGGCTTTAGGTCAGCAATACGCGCCCGTCACACACAGGTTAAAGCAAGGGGGAGAAAGAGCGCCGGAACGAACCGCCGCAACCGACGACGTAGAGGAGGTGGCAGCACCGCCACAAAGGGCAGAGAGGAGGAAGAGCACGCAGTTAGTTGCCTTCTGGTGACGCGCCGCAAGAGTATTCTCTGCTTTACTTGAGAGAGCGTGTTTGACTTCGATGTGCCCCCGCCCCCAAAAGACACCCTCTCCCCAACGCTTGAAATGCGATACACAGCACTTCGTACAGGGCTGCCGGGCAGTATGTGTACTTCCTGTCGCTGTTCTGGTGTGAGTTCGTGTGCTGGGTTGAGGGGGCAACACGGACACGCACACGCATGCATGCACGCACACTCAACAGCAGTGGGAGCGCGGTGATCAGGGTGCAGCTGTCACGCAGCGCACAACAATTAACAGCAGAGCAGTACCTGCGAACAGGGGAAGTTCGTTGGGTGACTGTCGTCCCACAGCCAATCACATGAAGCCGCCTTAAATCGGAAAATATTCGCCTGCAGGTAGTTTCCAGGAACTTTCTTATCTCAAAATATGTTTCCTTATCTCAGCAAATTTGGAGCCACAGTCCAAAACTGTGTATTTAGTGGAGGAAAACACAGGCGATCAGACTGATTCGAACCCACCGCTAAAAGGAACAAATTATTCGCACACACAGTACATTAAATAGACTTTGGTACACACATGGTATTCTGGCCTTTCTTAAATGAATCATGAGTCATAGAGCAGCTGCTGTACTTTGTTTTCGATTACACACACACGAACCCACCAACCACCAACATCACAGACACACAGAGAAAGCGACAAGAAAGAGAGAGGGGACCAAACAGAGGGAGAACAGTAAAAAAAGAGAGAGATATATATACAGCGGAGAGGGAGAAAGAGAGAAACCCAGACAGAGACATCAGCAGAAGCAATGAAAGGCGAGACCGCCTTGGATGCCGCGCATCAACCCTCTGTTGTCCCGAGACATAAGCGGTAGGGGTACACTGGGACGCACAGTTGTGAACAGAGAAAATAATTCACACGCAACGCCGTGTGAGCGGTGGGGGTATACAAACGAGGCCACTGTGAATACAGGCATCGTTGCCGTCTGTCTGCCTTCACGCAGGTAATTTGGAGCCGGATATAATCATTGCTTCAAAGCAAGCGGACGAATATCGTTGGCATGCTATGTACAGTCGAGGGACCCTTTTAGTGCCGGTTGAATAGTGCCAGATGCCCGGTATAGTGCCGGTAAAATCTCTGCACACAGGCGGAGCTCTCAATAGTGCCAGAGCGGCACTAATGAAAGCATGCCCGATATAGTGCCGGTTCGGCACTGCTGTCACCCCCAATAGTGCCGGTACTCCGCACGCGCGAAACACACACACGCACAACCCAGGGCAGAAAACATAGACTCCACACACAGAAATAGGGTACACGTGCTGCTGCAGACCCGAACAGCTCTACACAGGGGCGTACCATGCCCTGTGCGGAAGGTGAACTGTGCCAACTACAGGACACCACGCCGCAAGACCCTCATGGTCACGGCTGCCAGGGAGGATGTGGCGGGCGACTGCACGGCATTTGCGGCAGTGTGGTTGATGTAGGCAACGAGAATCACCGCATCTGCAGCGCGTGCGTCGCCAAAGCCGGCAAGCGCAAAGTGTCAGCAGCAGACAGCACTGGGAAGGCACAATCTAAACGCCCGAAGGCCACGAATGGGGGGAGCAACAAGTCTCAGCCTCGTTCGCGGCCAGATTTCAGCGCCAAGTGTGAGATGCTGAAGCTGATGGATCAGAAGGTGACTCATGAGCAGATAGCAGATCGCTTCAAGTGCTCGGAACGGTTGGTCCGGGATGTGAAGAAGAACAGGAAGAAGTACGAGACCGAGGCTGCTGCAGGACGCGGAGGAAGCAAGAAAAACGTGCGCACAGGCAATAATCCGGAGGTGCGCTACTCTGCTGTTGTTTTTCAAAAAAATACGCGTAGTTCCCGCGCCTTCTTTGCAAAGAGTTTTCTTTTTTGCAAGGACCTTTTTCTGTAGCCTTGTTCGTCTATCTGATGTTCTTGTTCTTTTTTCTTCTTCTCTTGTCAAGTTGTTCCCTGTTCTCTGTTCCCTTTCCCCATTTTTCTTCTATTTCTCGACTGTTACAGTACTTGTTGAGCTTGTTCCCTCTCGTCGTTCGTTTGTGTCTTTTTTTGTGTTACCTTTTTTTTCAACTTTCTTCGTTGTTTTATCGTTCGTGCGCTGCTGCGCCAGCATATAAACTGCGAACCAAAAATGTGTAGTTGTATTGTACTGTACTGGTACATTACATCGCACGCACACCTATTCTTTCAAACGAGTTACAATACATCAATACACATGCGGATGCAGCGGCGAGCTTCTGTGGTTTTTCAAATGCCCGGAAATGTTTCCTTCCCACTACGATGCACTGTGCAACGAGGCTTAATGTTCGAAACTAATCGTGCTATCTTTTGTACCGTCTTTATTGTTTACTCCTCGTTTGACGGTCAATAGGTGGACGCCATAGCTCTTGACCTACTAGAGAAAGCCCGGAAGACCAAGATGCCCGTCACGCGCGACGTCCTTCGAAGCTTCGGCCGTGCCGCCAGGGCAACCCTGCTGGCTGATCCAGCAGCTTCTAAGGAAGTGAAGGCGAGGGTCGAGGATTTCAAGGCCGGCGAAAGGTGGGCCAGGAACTTCGTGAAGCGCAACAGCATTGACAGCGTGAGACTTCATGGCGAGGCTGGTAGCGTCAACAAGGAGGCCATCAAGGAAGCCATGGAGGAACTCAAGGCCCTTTGCGCAAAGTACCCGGCTAGGCTCATCTTTAACGTCGACGAGACAGGCCTCCAGTGGAAGCTCATGCCCAGGCGCACGTACCTCTCCAACTTGAAGGATCGGAAGACGGCGCGGGGCTCCAAGGGCATGTTCTTCAAGGATCGACTGTCTGCCATCATGTGCGCCAATGCCGACGGCACTGCGAAGGTTGACATGTCCATCATCGGGAAGGCAAAGGGTCCCCGCTGCTTCAACGACACGCCTTCACCTCTCAAGTACTTCTCGCAGGCCAACGCCTGGTCCGACACCGCGACCTTCCGCAAGTGGTGGTGTGAGGTCTTCCTCCCGTTCGTTCGGCGCTTCACTCACGAACCTGTGCTGCTTCTGATGGACGGCTGTGCTTCTCACGGTGATCTAGTGGATGATCGGGGGCAAGTTACCACCAAGTTCTACCCTCCAAACTGCACCTCCGTACACCAGCCTATGGACATGGGGATCATCGCCAAGACGAAGTTCAACTACAGGAAGGAGCTGCTCGATGTGAAGACATCGACCATGTTGGTGGCTGACACCCTTCGTGCCGAGGCCAAAGCTCGCAAAATGAAGGCCGGGACAATGGGGCTGGCGCAAGGGCACCAACCTCACGTGCGGGATGCCGCTGAACTTCTCCAGAAAGCATGGGCCAGCGTCACCGCCCAGGACATCGCCAGGTGAGGTTTGAGCATGTGCAATCGCTGTTTATAATTAATGTAAACTGTTCAACTCGCGCCTTGGTGCACATAGCTTTGGTGGTACAAAGGTAACGTGGGTAAGGCTGTACGGATAGGTTATATTGTTTTCGACTGAGTTTTCCAACATCCGAATACATATCTTCTTTGCTTTTCGCAAAAACTTGAGTCCTCCCCCGCCTATGAGTCTTTGATCGTCCCTGGGTTCATCTAACATCCGCTTGTTGTCCACCCACAAACGTATGCATGACATTTTCTGCGCTACCTGGGATCAGGTGCTTTATCAAAGCCGAGACTCTTCCGGACGAGATGGCCGCTGAGCTCACCAAGCAACACGGAAAGTCCCAGTTCCACGTCGCCGAGCCTACCTTGAAGGCTTTCACGGAGACTCTCAACACGTTGAGCACGAGAGCATGCACGAGGCGCACAAGCAGGGTACCCAAATCGAGGACGAGGACATCGCCGAACTCCGCATCGAACCCGGAAAGCCGCTCCTGGAGGAAGCGGTGAACGCGATTCCATCGAGGACGACGATGAAGTGGTTGAGGCTCTCAGAGAGGATACGGTGGAAGACATGACGGCACAGCTGGCTGGGACTCGAGTGTCTACCGGCCGCGAGGAGGAGGACGAGGAGGAGGACAGCGGCGATGACAACACGGGGCTCGCGCGCCGTGTCCCACCGGCTTATGGTGAACTGTCGTCTCACTTCGGCGTCCTGGAAGCGGCAGCAGAGGAGAGCGGCAATGGAGACGCGGCGCTCTACCTAGCGAAAGCGAAGATGGCGATGATTGCAGAGCATTCCAAGAGGCGGGTGCGCCAGGCAGACATGAGGGAGTTTGTTGCTCCGGAGTAAGGGCGGGGAACAGCTGTGGCACTAAAAAAACGGTTGTTTGATTTTTGCGGTGCGCTGCCCGTCGTGCATGTCATTTTTTTTTTTTCTTGCAACATGGAAGCGGGTGCGCTAGGCAAAAAGGAGAGAATTTGTCCCGACGTACAGTAGTGAGGGCAGGGGTTACAGCTGTGGTAACGGTTGTTTGATTTTTTGCGGTGCGCTGCCTGTCGTGCTTGTCGGTTTTTTTTTCTTGCAACAACGAAGCGGGTGCGCCAGGCAAACAGGAGAGAATTTGTCCCGACGACAGTACACAAATAAGCAAATAAGTGAGGTGCAGAAGAAAATGAAGAACCAAAGAGCGCCCCAAGACAACAAAAAGAAAACTCAACTCGCCCACGCCCATGCTGGAACTTCACTCAACAGTACAGTAATAGTGTCGATCCATTTCGTTCTTTGTTGGCCCCGTAAGCGTGGGCGCTACACCATAAATCGAACACAACCTCATTAGTGCCGGTACCGGCACTAATGAGGGATTGGCCAGCCCTCAATAGTGCCGTTTGGCACTATTCGCAATAGTGCCGGGTGCCCGATTTAGTGCCGGTGAACGCTCTGTGCACGTACCGGCACTAAAAGAGTCCCTCGACTGTAGTCCCAAGCTCCCTTTTTTCTTTCATGCGTCATGCCGGGCTGCCGGGCACACCTTGTTCACCAACAAAGGAAAACAACAACACACGTTCCACTTGAGAAAAGAACGGAAAGTCATGCGTCAGGGGCGGGGCCCCGCAGTCTGCAACTGACGCAAACGGAAAAATAGTGTAACGAGCCATGCATACACACAGTATATTGAGCCAACAACGTCCAACCCGAAGAAGCTAACACTAACTGACACTGACTTTAGCCACACGTCGCCCTGTAGACGCATTAAAAACTAGCGAGCATGTTCGGCCGGAGGGTCTGATCCACGTGTCGCCCGAGCGTTCCCGAAAAGAACAGACGCGACCGGCCCTGAACGGAGAGGGAGGGCACTTCTCAGAACGCCCATCCAGCTACGTACAACTGATTTAACGGTAGCAGATGGCCCAATGTAAGTGCAACTGATTTAACGGTAGCAGATGGCCCAATGTAAGTGGCAACTTGAAAAATAAAAGTGGAATTGCCCATATAGTGACATCAAACATTCTTGTCACACTCACTTTTTGATGGGAGGGATTTGATGCTGTTAGACCCATGTTGTTTATGGTCGCCAAATCTTTGCCAAAATATATATATTTTCAAACATTTGCGGACAGATTTTATTTCACTGTTTATGGGAGAAAATTTTCGGCAAAATATTCTCAAACATTTTGAAATGGGGCAAAAGTCGCTCATTTGACAACATATTATCAAACATTTTGAAATGGGGCAGGTCGCGAAAATGTTTCCCAAGAGCGGCGAGATTAGTAGCCGACCACCCCTCCGTCCTAAACACCAACCACTGCGCAGCGCACACTCAACGTACCAAGCTCATAGAGGGATCCGGGCAACCCTAGAGTCACCGTGTCAATGTTTTGCCGGCTGATACATGGCGGGAGCTCGTCAAGCGTGCACAAAAAAACAAACAGACAGGGGTGGTTTGGAGGGCACGGAGAAGCGTGGTTTGTGTTTCCGAACGGCAAAAAGTCGGCTGCTTGAGAGGAGAGGTGAGCACAAAACTAACCAGCTCTCGTCCTCTAGACCATCGATTCATGTTTTGTTTTCTTGGGTGTCGTCTCCATCAACGGCTCTCATCCGGGTGTGCGTGGTTCAGCAGTGGACGTACTCAACAGGCAGGGAGGCGCGTCGCTGTGAACTCGATGTGTTGAAAAAGTCTTTTTTGGGACGGAGGAACAAGCACTCTATACTCAAGTGAAAAAATAGACCGAAAAAACGTTGTGTCCACAACTTTGCGCGCACAACGATGTGCCTCCCTGCCGGCTGAGCGCGGCCACTGCTAACCCACGCACAACCGGATGAGAGTCGTTGATGAGAAGACACCCAAGAAGACAAAACATGAATCGATGGTCTAGAGGACAAGAGATGGATAGTTTTGTACTCACATGTCCTCTCAAGCGGCCGACTTTTTGCCGTTGGGAAGCGCTGACGCACGTTTTGGGGTCTTTTTGACACCGAGAACATTTTTTCTCGCACGCCCGGAGCGCTATCGCCACATGTTGGCGGGCACAGCATCAGCTCAGTGCATCAAGGGTTGTGGGGAGCCCTTTGCGAGCTCGTTACATTCAGTTGCCATGACGCATTTGAGGTTTGTCTGTCGCACATCGTTTGGTAGCAGTAGACCACGATTCCCGCCGCACGTGCGATGCATTTCGAGGAAACCACACGATAAAGATTTTTTCGCCCATAAAAACGGTACTCAAATACTCCTCTGACAGATTTTCGCGCGCAAATGTTTGACAACATTTGAAGTTTTTTTCAAAGATTTGGCGACCATAAACATGGGTCTTATGGGGCAAAAGCCGCTCGTTTGACCCAATATTCTCAAACATTTTGAAATGGGGCAGGTCGCGAATATATTTCCCAAGAGCGGCGGAATTATTTGTAGACGACCGCCCCTTCCGTCCTAAACACCAACCACTGCGCAGCGCACACTCAACGTACCAAGCTCATAGAGGGATCCGGACAACCTAGAGTTACCGTGTCAATGTTTTGCCGGCTGATACATGGCGGGAGCTCGTCAAGCGTGCACAAAAAACAAGCAGACAGGGGTGGTTTGGAGGGCACGGACAAAGCGTGGTTTGTGTCTCCGAACGGCAAAAAGTCGGCTGCTTGAGAGGAGAGGTGAGTACAAAACTATCCAGCTCTCGTCCTCAGGACCATCGATTCATGTTTTGTTTTCTTGGGTGTCTTCTCCATCAACCGCTCTCTCATCCGGGTGTGCGTGGTTCAGCAGTGGACGTACTCAACAGGCAGGGGGGCGCGTCGCTGTGAACTCGATGTGTTGAAAAAGTCTTTTTTGGGACGGAGGAACAAGCACTCTATATTCAAGTGAAAAAATAGACCGGAAAAAACGTTGTGTCCACAACTTTGCGCGCACAACGATGTGCCTCCCTGCCGGCTGAGCGCGGCCACTGCTAACCCACGCACAACCGGATGAGAGTCGTTGATGGACAAGACACCCAAGAAGACAAAACATGAATCGATGGTCTAGAGGACGAGAGCTGGATAGTTTTGTACTCACGTGTCCTCTCAAGCGGCCGACTTTTTGCCGTTGGGAAGCGCTGACGCACGTTTTGGTCTCTGTTTGACACCGAGAACATTTTTTCTCGCACGCCCGGAGCGCTATCGCCACATATTGGCGGGCACAGCATCAGCTCAGTGCATCAAGGGTTGTGGGGAGCCCTTTGCGAGCTCGTTACATTCAGTCGCCATGACGCATTTGAGGTTTGCCTGTCACAAATCGTTTGGTAGGAGTAGACCACGATTCCCGCCACACGTGCGATGCATTTCGAGAAAACCACACGATAAAGATTTTTTCGCCCATAAAACGGTAGTCAAATGTTCCTCTGGCAGATATTCGCGCGCAAATGTTTGGACAACATTTGAAGTTTTTTTCAAAGATTTGGCGACCATAAACATGGGTCTTAATAATATCCTCGCTAATTATGCTCGCTGATGATCTGTCCAGTACGCACTGTCACACCCGAATTCAGGAGACCACTAGAAACGCGGACCGGTAATTTTGTCCCTCCCACTCAGCAGAATAAAAGGGACAGGGCCCATAGGTAGGGCCAGAAAAATGAAAAACGACGCAATCTCATTGGTCAATCAACACGTCCCAACATGAAAAACGACCCCAAGACATGAAAAACGACGGCGGCTGATTGGGCCAAAGCACCCGAATTGGGCCGCTGCTGCCGAGACACATGATGACACCCAACACAGACCACAACGGAAAGCACAACAGCCCTCCCACCCAGCAACCGTGGAGCCAGCGCTCCCCGTGGGGCAAAATCAAGGGTCAAAGCCCAAGGATGGCGCACAAAAAGCGGGTCGGAAAACGAATGCGGAGAGGGAAAAGATAGCTGCGCAGCAGAGGAATCAGACGGACGGGTTCGCAAGGATGCTTTCCCGGAACCCGCAAGCCCAGCCATCATCAAAGCGGCCACGGGTGAGTGAAGACCAGAGTGGGGAGGGAAGCAGTGCGGGTGCTAGGAGCGCGTCATCCGCCGGCGATGTCGACGTTATTGGGGATTCTGGTGGTTCATCAAGCACGGCGGCACCAACCATCGGCGAGTCCACTCCACCTCCCGCCGGTACACAACAGCAGCAGTCGCCTCCTGGCTTGGACGATGAGGGTGACCACTCTCGGGTAGATGGAGAGGAAGCTCGGGCACCACCATTCCCAACCGTAGGGGAAGGATTCGCCACAGCATCAACAGAGCTCGTAACAACAACGGCAACAACAGCAGCAGCAACATCAACAGCAGCAACAGCAGCAGCAGCAGCAGCAGCAGCAGTGGCGGCAGTACCCGTCCCGCACCCTCCCAGCAAAGGCAAGGGTAAAGCCTTTGCTCATGAAGCCTCCCAAGTACGCGGGAGGGCAGCTCGAGCAGTGCTATCCTCTCAAATAGGTGAGGGGTTACTACAAGCATCAACAGCACTGCCAATGTCAGCGGCACCAGAGGCCGCAACAGGGGCAGCAACATTGGCACAACTCGCAGCAGTAGCAGCCGAAGTAGCCGCCGCCGCGGGGGCGGCAGCGGCGAGACCAGCAGCAAGCGGACGTCAAGACCACGTAGCGCGCCAACAAGGACGAGGAGGGGGGCTGAGCAGCCGTGAAGGAGGTAGAGGAGGGGGGATGAGCGGCCGTGGGGGAGGTGGGGGAGGGGGGCGACGGGCAGCAGCGCCAGGTCGTGGAGCAGGAGGAGGTGGGGCTGAAGGAGCCGCCGGTGGAGGGGCCGACGATGATGATACTTCAATATCCAGTGCGCAGGAACGCTTCTTTCAAGAAGTGAAGGACAAGATCGACCGGAGTATCACCCACGAGGGAGGTGGTGTGAAAGGCCGGTTCCCGTTTGACAACCCGCTCGTCCGTCCGAAGTGTGCCACTTTCCAACCATCACCAGGTACGCCAGAGGAGTTGTTTCTTTTTATAGGGGGGAGGGGATAGCTCTGCCTATCTATCGTTCTTTTCGGATTAAATCGTCCAGGAAAAAAACATCCCGTCCCCCGGTAGGCTAATTTGTTTTTCTCGCGTGCCCGATGTTCTGACATATCTACCTCAAATTTACGCGCGCCCAGGCCTACCGAAACTCGACCGGTTTTATCAGAAGGCAGTATTGGTATGGATACCGGAGTTCTTGTTCCCAGAGCTCCAGGCAGTTCCTTGTCCAGGATGTGGGGGCAAGGGCGCACCTGATGGCTGGAACCCTAAGGGGCCACGCCGGGTGTTCATGGAGCACGACGTGGCGTACATCATGGGGTTTCGTTAAGTTCAGCATGCGATGAAGAGTTTTCGCTCGATAAACTTCATCAGTCATGTTTTCGTGGCATCGAATTCTAGGTTTCTTCTGGATTGGAGTTGGTCTGGCAGCGTCCGATGAAGACGAGTGCCTTGAGCGAGCTGGTGGAGGAGTTGAAGCTTTTTTTCATGCGATTCGTTCGCAATGGCTTCAAGGTTCCTACTCTGTGGAACACAGGTAATTTGCGAAATGATTGTAGACTTGCTTAGCTTTTCGAGGTTGTAGACCGGTGTCAGGCCTGCTATTTTCGCAGTGATTTTGCAGTATTGTCTCCTCAATCCTTTCCGGCCCCGTGGCGTGACGCGTGACGCATAACTTTGTCAGATGACTGCTGTGATGACCGTCAACTGCTGCAACGGGTATTTCGCGAGTTTGAGGAGGCAACGTGGATCAGTCTTTATCTGGAAGACGAGGTGGACGCCGGAGTTCAGTTGGAGCTCCTGCCACAGCTGCATCTGGAGTTCACCCCTGCCATCGTGTACGACCCGGAGGCGGTAGCCGCTGCCTGCGGCTCCCTCCGTCAGAGCATCATCCAAATCGAGTGGAGGGAAAGATGGTGTGCCGAGCGGACGCAGAGTGGCAGTTTTCACCTCGTGGGCGGGAACCTGTAGCGACCTTCCAGATTGCGGCTTTGAGGGGGCCGTCGTTCCTCTTCCACCTGCAGAGAGGGAGCTCTGGTTTTACTTCTTCAACACCCTCGGGCCCGTTCAAGGACCGATTGGACGGCTCACGGCTTCGCTGAGGCAACCCGATGATGCCGTCGGATCCGTCCGCTCGCCGCAAATGCCTGCCCCCAACCGTGGCGTCGGCGGCCTACCGACTGCTTCCGCCGCGGTCGCGGACGCCACGATGGCGGCGATGAGGGCGGCGGCAAGGGAGGGGGGGGCAGGCAGCGGGCAGGGCGTGGTTGTAGGGGGCTCCTCCGGGGCAGGAGGTGACCCGGTAGAGGGGTCGCCGATCTTGGCTGGGTCTGGGTCTGGGTCTGGGGCGGCAGGGGCGGCGGGGGCGGCGGGGGCGACGGGGGCGGCGGGGGCGGCGGTGGCGGCGCGGGCGGCGCGGGCGTCGTTGCCGCAGTTCAGGGCCTGCACCGAATGCGGACACCACAAGGGTGCATACCCTGCTGAACACCCTGGGAATCGCCGTGGACATAAGGCGAAAGGTTCAGCGCCCCAGCCCGACGTCGAACCGGCGAAAAAATGTTCAGTGGACCAGAGCTTGCGGCGCCCAGAGTCGGACAAAGTCTGGAACCCGAAGCAAAGAAAGAGGACGTTTTTGCCCTGCCCGTGCGATGTATGCAAGGGCTCATACGACACGTGGAGGATGGTGATGGTTAGCCTGTACTGCCGGGTCGAGAAGAGCTGGACATATTACAAAGAATGTAAATATTTGCCTACCGGTTCGAAAGGCCGTTCGGTCATTTAAATGTGCACTACTTGTACGGCAGTCGCCCAGAATTTTGGATGGTAAAGGAAATTACAAACAAACGGCCCACGATTGAGGCAGCAGATACAGCACCACGGCTGCCCAGGCGATGTGTGTGTGTGTGTGGTGTGTTTTTTGTTTCCGGCGCCATCTGCCGTCTTTCGACAACGATATTGAGTTGGACGGTATGCTAGACGTGCCTGAGAATGCAGTGCAAGAAACCGTTTCTAAATCGGCTCACAGTTCGAGGAGAACGGCCTACAAACAGCAGTGGATCAGAGGTGTGTCCGAAAAAAACAAAAAAAAGCCAAATTCTGTGCAAACGCCTCTAAACATTTTTTCGCGCTTCGCGCGAGTTTTTATATATTGCGTCCCCGGCTAGCCCTACCTATGGGCCCTGAGCCGAATAAAAGACGTCCGGCCGATCTTGCATATATTTTGTCGTCACAGCAAAACGTCAACCCACATCATGAATGACGTACGTACAACGCAACATTTATTGTGCTTGCCGTTGGGGATGTGCAATCGCGTATCGAATTGCCACATTCGATACCGATTTATAGTTGATACTCACTATCCAAATCGATGAATAATATTGCCGATGTGTCGATAATGTATCGAGATCGAATATCGAATATCGACGATACCAATACGGATTTTTTCAGACACGGGGCCCCTAAACTAGCAAATACCTAGCTGTAGTTGATAGCACGCCCCCCCCCTATTATGCGCCCAGCTTGCGAGATGCACAGCACACATCACACACCACACCCTCTCTGCTTTGTCCTCTGCGCACCACGTCCGGTCCCGCATCCCAAACCAACGAGGACATGAGCCTTTCGACTTTCGGATTGGATGCAGGCGGATATGATTTTGCAACACTGTAGTGCAGTCGTAGTGTGTAGCATGTATATGTAGCTCTGACTTGTTTGTCCTTCGTTCTTCTTGGCGTTTTTTCTTCATGTCGTGCTACCTGGGTCAGTCAGTCAGTGCAGGTATACGACTATAGGCTTCCAGTCTGAGGGTCCTCGTGCATTTGTTAGACAGGAAAATTAATACTCACTTTTGTTTCGTTTGACGGAAGGTTCAATTCCATTTATTTATCTATTGATGATGATACTTCCACACACAAAAAACGCGTCGCCGAATACACTACCTCTCAGCAGTGTGTCATCGTACGTATCGTCGTGCCTGCAGTTGCATTGACTATAGACCATGATCAATCAATCGTGATGTGCAAAAAAAGACAGGAAGACACGGGTCATTTTAATGTAGCCGCTTGAGTTTTTCTGGGCAATATCGATATCAAAATATCGATACTCGGAGTATCGGTCACTGTGGTGAGTATCGGGAAAAAGTCGAACATCGAAAATATTTGGCTAGATTTTGAAATATCGTATCGGCACCCATGTCGCAGACGATCGCCATCACTGGACTTTATCGGGTCACCTACTGCTGTACGCACTTTTTGATGCGAGGGATTTGATGCTGTTAACAATCTCCTCGCTAGTTATGCTCGCTGATGATCTGTTCAGTACGCACTATCACGCCCGAATGCAGGAGACCACCAGAAACGCGGACCGGCAATTTTGTCCCTCTCACTCAGCAGAACAAAAAATGTCCGGCCGATCTTGCATTTATTTCTATCGTCACAGCAAAACGTCAACCTACATCATGAATGACGTACGTACAACGCAACATCTATTGTGCTTGCCGATGGAGATGTGCAACGCTACGCGAGCAAAAGGCGTTTACCATAGGGGAAAGAAGCTGCAGTGCGGTGACAAATGTATAAAAAAAACATGATGATCAGACAAGACCAGACAGCAGGCTATAACCACGACAGACGAACAACTGAACGTCATCATCATTATGGTCGGAAAAGGGAGAACACTGGCTTTGAATCGACAGACCACCAACTGACAGTTGGTTCGTTTCGAACACCACACACGACGACGCACGACTACGACAGACATCAATTCAGCGCGGCTACTACGCCGCCGTGTAGGATCGGGAGCGATACACACAGTACCCCTGCTCTGTGTTGAGCAGTATTTCACTCAACAAGCAAAAATAGGCAACGGCCGGTTGTGTAGTTGTCAGTGAGAGCATACAGCAGCAGCGATACCATGGATCCACGTACTATGCATCTAACTCCTTTTTTCCTTTGAGAGAGGTGTGTCGTCTGCATCTCTCTACCACCAAATGCTCTCCACATCCCAGCAGAGAGTTGACACACACACACACACGTCCAACATCTGATCTGTTCATCATCAACACGATACACATGGCGCAAACGGGTGCACGGGTGCGGTGCAAACGTGCGCTCGGCGTCGCGCACGGGCAACACGACGACCACAAACCCAAATAGCAGGAAACATATTCCGCTGCGATTTGGGCCTCGAAATCGTTGCGGGCAGAGCGATTCCGGGGTATATACGATTCCGGCAAATATCAGCACCATAGGGGTTGGTATGTTCTGTTGGCCTCACTATAAATCCAAATCTCAGCAACTGTAGACCTTCCATACGAATTGGTCTCGATAACCCTGCCGTCCGTGTTAGATGCGCACCACTATTGACGATGGGTGGACGAGGGAACCCAAAAGGCAAAGCATGAACACACAAAAAAACAACATAGAGAAGTACGAGGTGAGAGCGAGGCCAAGAGAGTGAGCCAACAGGCCTCGGAGAGGGGGCGGAAGAGAGCATAGAACAGGCACCCTCCTCGCCGCTCTGAATCCCCGGAAGCTGTCACGTATGCACTGCAGCAAGCATCATGGTCATGCCCATTCTCTGGCAGCATCCATCGTCTCCCATACAACAGCCGGGTGCCAGGTAGCCTCTTTAGTCTACTCAGCCAGCAAGATGAAAAACAACCAATCGCGGTTGGCGTTGTCGTGGGGACCCCACCGGCGAAAGACGAGAGAAGAGAGCGGAGAGAAGACAAGGCATTCACTCTCGAGAACACACCAACTCTCGTCCTTCTGACCACTGTGTGTGGCTCGAGATCAGCATTTGAGACCCTGTCGGGCAAGGGGTGGGCTATGCAGAAGAAAATGACAGGGACAGAAAAAATGAATCTAGGTCGATAGAGACCGAACTCTACCGAGCTTGGGAATGTACATAGATAGATAGACGTGAGACGTTACTGAGCAAAGAACGAACAATACGAAAAATACTACTGACGATCTTGGTTGGACCCAGCAGTGCCTACACCGCTGCTAGCAGATGGACTATGTTGTTGGTGGCGACCACGACTTGTTGTTTGCGCGAAGAAGGGTTGAGACGACCTGACGCGCACCCGGAAAAACAACAACAGTCTCGATCAACAACAGTCTCGATCGTCCCTCAGCGGAGAGGAAGAAGAGGGCACTTCTCACAGCGCCCATCCATGTGTATGCACTGTTTGTGGCGAGGGAGTCCACCCTGTCAACAATCTCGCTAATCGTGCTCGCTGATGATCTGGCTGGTACGCACGATCACACCCACCCGAATAAAGAAAACCATCAGAACGCGGACCGGTACAATAGTTTAGTGCCGCTCTTTCGGCAAGAACCAAAATACCTACGCCGGTCGCCCCGGTGGTCTAGTTAGCAACCTCGAAATCTTCTAGAGGTCAGGCCAGGGGTTCGAATCCCGGCGTAAGCGAGCTTTTCTTGCAAAATAAGTTTTTCTCTCGCTTCCACTCCTGTCTAAGTGGATAGCGCTAGTTCGTGTGTACACAGAAGGAATAGAGTCCTGACGTCTTCTCGCATTAAAAATCGAGACAAAGTACCCCAAGGGGGGGGGGGTAGAGAGGGGCTCTTCTGTGTGACCACGGGTTGAAGTAAACGGCACTAGTGTTGTGAGCGCTGATTTGAAGTGAAGAAAAAAAAAAATACCCCCGGGCGAACTCGCATTTGTAGTCACAAGAACATCATGAGAGTAGGTCTTTACGAAGAAATCAGATCTATCTCGAAATCATAGTTCGATATAACAAGAAAGGAGTCGGATCTACCCGAATCCGGACAGAAATGGCCTGTGTGTCTTTACGGGAGATCTGCCAAATGGAAACGAATCTCTGCAGTCCACCACGAACAACCCGAGAGGTCCGACGCTTGCCAACTGCCAGATTGCTGTTGTGACGTACTGTTCTGACGTGGCCACACTACATGGGGAGCTATCGCTGCCGAGAAGCACACACCAAACGCGTACATGGCCTCTGTGCGGTACTGACACGATGTCTATGCATGTGACACTTTGAATCGACCCTCGT